ATTATTATTATCTTCATTGTTTTATGTACAGTATGTTATATTGTGAGAAAATCTGTCCTTTAGCCCTGGGTGGGTCAGCCACACATTCCAAGTTTCTGGAAAAGTAATTACCTCCAGGCAGGAGGCCTGACTACATGTACCCTATTCATTATTCATTAGGCTCTAGCTTTTCTACAGTAGTTACTTTGTTCATTATCACCATACCCTTCTCTGTTTATTCCTAATCCCTGTGTGGTTTGCCCAGGAATGTGAGGCACTGGCCAACATCCTGTGGTTTAGCTTTCTTCAGTTCAGTTTTGTGTTAGCCACCAACGAGAGCACACCCATATGTTATGAAACTCTTTTAATTTAAAGAAAGTTTGACAGCGCTGGCTGCGCTTTGCTGCCATGCGGCCACTGACGAGGAATAAAAACAGTATATTTTCCATCTAAACTTGAAGAGCCTGTTGTCCCTGGTCACAGTAGCAAAACATAAATGGAACTGGGCTTGCCTACAACAAGAGAAAGATGACAATGGGGACTTTGTGTGGGAGTGGCTTTTTCACAAAAATAAGGTTCCGTTTTTTTCAAGCAGACCCAGTTCCATTTTTTTCAAGCAGACCCTGTGACATCTCTGAGCATAAGACAATTGCAGAAGCACTGGGGATATGAGTACATTATTGTGATCATGGATCACTTCACAAGGTTTGCATAAGTGTACACAACCAGAAATAAAGCAGGGTGTACTGCAGCTGACAAAAAAAAGTTATGCAATTTGGTTACCCTAAACGCCTTCATTGTGACCAGGGCTGCACATTCTAGAACCAACTGTTCCAGAAACTGGAGAAACTGTCAGGAGTTGATGGGTCACAAACTACCCCGTATACCACCCTCAAGGGAATGGTAATCCCGGGACATACCGTTATTTCGTTTTACCGTTTTGCATTTCCTCAAAACAAAAACAGTAAACAAACCATTGACCGTTTTGTCGTTTTACAGTTTTGTAAAACGGTCAAACGGTATTAAGATAAATACGGTTTCTCTGTTTTATAAGTTCAATAAAATTCATTACAGCATAACGATCAATGATTTTTGTTTTACAGTTTTACACAAATAACTTTGAAAAACAGCAAAACGGTCAGTATTGAATACAGACTGTTTTTTTTTATTTCAGTGTCATAGTGAGCAGTCCGTGGTGCATTTTGTGGTGCTGGGCAAGGGGATGGAGGATGACCATGCTTTACATGAAAAAGTGTTACCTCGGCATATTGCGTGGTGTGATTCCTGGCGTGACCCTGACCCCCTTCAGGCTCACGCGATTCAGTTGGTGGGGCTTAAGAGTTGCAAGCAAAAAATAATGGCGCTGAAAAACTCTGAGGGAGGACATTACTTTTACAATGGAATACGTTTGAAGAAGTTGCAGATATTTAAAGGAAATTGGAGTTCGGCGCGGCTCTTCAATAGCCAGTTCGAAAACTATGTCGTACGTTGAGAACGAAATGTGCGGAGGGTAATTTGGGTCCCAGGCAATGACTCGATCCCATGAGGACGCATTAACATTCCTAGGTGCATTAATTGCCGAACCTAAATCAGAAAATGGTCGACAGGACTATTGACCGTTTTTCATTGTCATGTTCTTGTAAAACAACACGCTTAAATGAAGCAACTAACCGTTTATCGCTTTCAACAATTAAGAAAAACAACAAAAAGGTCATTGGTTTTTGTGACCTAATACCGTTTGACCGTTTTACAAAATTGTAAAACGAAAAAAACGGTCAACAATGCGTTTACTGTTTTTGTTTTTGAGGAAATCCATAACGGTAAAACGAAATAACGGTATGTCCCGGGATTAATGGTCTTGTGGAGCATTGCAACAGAACTCTGTTGTTCATGCCCCGTATGATGTCCGAAGAGAGACAGGAAGCAGCATGTGAATAAGGTAGTTTGTGCCTATAATACCACGTGGCATGACTCCACTGGCTATTCTACCCTCTACCCCCTGTTTGGAAAGCCACGGCATCTCCCAATTGACCTGGCATTTGCTTTTGAGGATCAACCTGGCAAAAGTGAAGAAGCATGGTGAATATGTGCAAAGATGGAAGAGTCGCATGGCGGAGGTGTATAGCCTTACACGCAGTGATGAAGAAAAGTCACCAGCAAAGAAGAAGCACAACTATGACAAGTGAAGAACTGTGTTCTTTCTGGTGGGCCTTGGAAACTGCAGCCTTACTTTGCGGACAAAGTTCACGTTGTCATTGCCAAAAGGGTACCTTTCCAGAGTATGAACTGCAACCTGAAGGAGGAGAGGGAAGAAGCGAACCAGTGTTGTCTACTGCAACCTTTTTTCCTTGTGACTTCATATCTGGTGATCTGCCAAACCGTATTGCAGAGAGAGCAAGAGCAGATTGCACTCAGTAGCGTATCCAGCTTTGGATGTCGGGGGGGGGGGGGGGGGGGGGGGGGGAGGGGGTCAGACTAGACCCCCTGCCACAGGAACATTGTACTGTTTGATTGGCGAGACCTTCACCTACTTAATGCTTGGGTACACCGGATCCAAGATGCATGCCGTTGTTAACTGTTGAAGCCAAGCAAATTGTTCCTGAATGGTCAACTCAGCAGATTTATCTTCCCTTATAACGCACTTGATGCAGCCAATCAGTTGCCCCAATGCAAAATCAGAACTACTGGCAGCTAGCACTAATATATACAAGCCAAGGAGTGTTTATTAACACCATATGGCTTGGGGACTTTTACAACGGACAAGGCTACCATGCTGTTCCTTCAAAATGACAAGTGTAGATTTGAATACCGATCCCTCTCCATCCATTCATGCCACAGCATATGAAATGACAAGGACTATCAGGAACTGCCGTGACCAACAGTGGCCATGTACATTACCGGTAGTTATGGAACTACTGTGAATTTGACAGAACTGTACTTATTACATTGGATTTGGAACATAGTGTGATCAGATTGAATGACATTAGAGGTGTGGGACAGAAGGCACCAGTATGGAGGCCATCGTCTTTCCAATTGAATCAGCTGATGTGAGCAGGAAATGACAGGAGACTGTTACCTTGTGATCCTGACGTTAACTCACAGGTGTTTATAATTATGGTAGTAGTCGTACTTTATCATACCCCAAAAGATGCAAGTTTCTTTCAAATTAATACAAATGGTTTTACTTAAAAGGCCGTTCATTATCCTTTTTCTGTCACAATTGGGCAAAGTACATGTCCTATGAAAATGTTTTCAGCCCGATCACCCTGCATTTGTAAATTAACAAACGCAAATCTTAAGGTTTTTTTTAGAATTTTTTTGCAGATCGAATTAGCTTAGGACATGGAGGTGTACAGGAAACATTTAGTTTACTGGTAAATAAAAGTACTTCTCTTGGACTTCTTCAGTGTGTGATGACACTGACTGTAGGACATGCTTGTTTTGCTATTTACATTGTAGTAAGTATTACATAAATTCATGACGGAAACAACTTATTAGATTTGCGTAATGTGCTGAAAAACCACTGTACATTCAATTGCCCCTAAACTCCGTCTGGTACTTACAGACATACTCATGTTCGTTGTGCTGAACAAAGAATGGGTCTGAAGCAACATGGAGACATTTAGAGGGAAGAACATAGGAAGAGTGGGAGCAATTGACTTGCTTGGGTACTGCTTGAAATGATGCACACGTCTATGGGATGCGGCTGCCTTAGGTGCTTGTGTGACTCGTAGCAATATCCCAGCATGCCTGGGTTATCGGTTATGGCCGTACATGTAGCATCAGATGGGCCAATCACAGGGCGCCTCGATTGGGCACCTCAATTGGCGCCTCGATTGAGCGCCTCGATTTTGCACCTTGATTGGGCTCTTCAATTTTGCTTGTAATTTGATAATTAGCATAAATCGCTTGTATTTTGATACGTACCTGATGACTTCGTGACGATGTCATAAAATTGTTCACATCTTCAGGCCAGGGTTCAAGTTCATACCAGGTTTTATTATCCCATGAACCATTTGGAAGAACTTTTGGTTTGTTTTGATTTGAGGTTCATGTCCATTTTTTGATTTCACAGGTACTTTGACCTTACGGTCGCCCCGGAAGTAAAGGTCAAGTGATTTCACGTACCAGACAACAAATATTCATCAGTTAAAGCTACAGTCCATCATTTGCAGCTATCCAAAAAGTAACTGACGTAATTATTGTTGAAAAACATACTTGGTTGAAAGATAGTAAGGGGACTAAACCCCCTGTGAAATTATTCTTTCTGGCATGCTGTCATTTTAAAGAAATCAACAAGAGAAGTCCTTTCCAACGATGCGCGTGCGGTTGTTATAATTCGTGGAATCAGTGCGCGACATCGGGTAGCTGCATTCAGCTCAGTGAGAACGTGTCTCAGATGCTGAATTCAGGTCCAATTCAAAACATGAATCAGCAACTTTTGATTTGAAGTCGAGATCCTAGAATTTTTTTTCTTGAAATATACAGCTGAAGCTGAGCTGAAAATTCATCAGGTTAGTTGTTCAGCAACCTTCTAGATTTTTGAGCACGTTTTTGTTGCTTCAAAATTACAAATGATGGACTGTACCTTTAATGATCTGTCTGATTACAAAGTGTAAACATGATTGAGCAGTTTGTTCAATAGTTCAAAGTAAAAGATGTTGGTCACTTTTTCCAACAAAAATCACTTTTAATATAATACCTTGACATTATCATGACGTTCAAGTTATATGTACACTTCGGGATCAGAGTTGATCTTTGTTAATAGTTTCTTGTTTAAACATAGATTAGAAGAGAAATCAGGAGAATTATTGTCCCGAAAACCCCCCAGAAATATTAACTCATGCAATTGTGAAATTGCAATCAGAGAGATAAAAAGGGCTATGGCCTTGCCCATTTCCAGAAACATTGTTAATATGTGAAGGTACTAATTAGGTTGTGTCATGTTGATGCTTGTGACTTACACTAGCAGTAGTAGTTGTATTTTACAAATATCCTATATTTCTCATTGTTTGGACAAGATATGTGAGCGTCTTGGTTGGAAAGGTGAAGGGGGAAGATTTGATGTTCTGCCACTTGTCCTGCAAGCCAATGGGGAGGACCCTGAATGGTTTGAACTACCAAAGGAGTGCATTCTGCAGGTCAAGCTCACTCACCCTGAGTAAGATTTTTGTTTTTATTTTCTCAAGAATAATTTAGATTTTGGCTTTTTTTAAGTGAATGACTCTTAGATTTTCTGTAAGTTAATGAAAATTCGGACCATAAAATGTACCTTATATTAACGCTCCTATTAAAAAGAGCCACTGTTGGAGTCGAGTCCTCAAATCCAAGTACAGAGTACTCTGAGTACTTTAGGGGCCGACACTGTGATGAGTCCAAGGCCAAAGCACCGAGAACGAGTACATTCAAGGCCGACTACAGGGCCAAGTCTAAGTCCAAGTCCGAGTCCGAGTACAATACCAAAAAAATACAAAAATAAATAAATAAATGAAAAAGCTAGATAGATGAATAAAAAAAACTAGAGGTTGTAGGAACAACCACACCGTGTTGGGCCATTGTTGATGTTGACGTTGATTGTTGATTGTTGATGTTGATGTTGATGTTGATTGTTGATTGTTGATGTAGATGTTGAGGGTTGAGGGTTGAGGGTTGAGGGTTGAAAAATAGCGAGTGTATTAATTATACAGAGGATAGTTAAAAAGAGTCAGGTGAGGATCTGCACATATATGCTGCTGTAGTGTGAACTTACCGAGTACAATCGTTACAAAAACCCATTAAATAGCTCATATCTCTAAAAGTAAAGGTCGCACACCATTGGCACAATATAAAATATTGCTCGCCATACCCTCTTTACCCCAATGCGCATGTTTTTAGAAAAAAACGCCCAATTTAAAAAGAAAAAGCGCCCAATTGGGCGCTTTTGCCAGCCCAATTTTGAGTATCACATGACATCATCAGAAGTCAAAAATGTGCTTGCATTAATTAAGAAGTTGTCATATAAACGTGTACAACACACTGGTAAACACTTAAAATACATTGGTCCATCAAACAGCCGTTACAAGTAGCTCAATAGTTAACATACAACAGTCGTAAAACTAGACACTCAAGAAGTGAGCACGGGGAATTCCCTTTTGTACGCAATCATCCCCATTAGCTGTACACACAGTGTACATGGCATTAAATTAACGTTTCAAGGCGTAGGCGTGTTCAATTTCAAATTGCAAGGGGGCTGCAGGACATCTCCAAGTTTACTTGTTGAAACGCAACTTTGGAAAGTTTTAGACCTAATATTAAAGTGCCATTTAAAGCACAAGTCGAGATTAAATCTGTCAGGGTTGATTTTTCAGGAATTTTCAAAGGAAAAGAGGTCTTTTCATTGTAACTTCCGGTCTGATAACGTAATCATTTTTTTTTGCACACAGGTCTTATCTGCATTAAGGTCATCATGTATATTAATTTTGAAGCAATTACCGCAAATTTCGCCACAGACATCAGCTGAAAATGCGTTTTTGACATTTTTTAACCTGTCGCTAGAGGGCGCTCGAACACTTGATGGTGTCACCGATCATTTTTTTGGAAAGCTCAACCTACTCAAAGACTAACATCGTTAAAAGCAAGTTCATATCTTTTTCCACTTTTAAATTATTAGGCACTTCCGGTTTCGACCGGAAGGAAGGGTCACGTGATTTGACGCGCACGAGAGACAATGAAGATCATGTATTATCATATCGATTCCCGCAAAATTCAAGTTCCGGTCTCTCACGGTTGATTTTATATTGAATTTCAAAGATTAAACCGTCTTCTGTGCTTGTCAACAGACATCTGGGCAAAGCATCGCAAGCCAGCTCACCCAGCAGACGGTGCGATATGGAGACTCTCCCCCTGTGACACTTTTCGTCAGTCTGACGATCCATTTTCACAACGAACTACTTTTTCAAAGTGCATTCGTGTTCTGTACAGGGTGGTAAAAAAAAAAGGACACCCACTTTTGACAGCAATTTTCACCTATTTTTAAAAATTATTTTTATTTGTCGATTAGTAGCTATTAAAGTACTGGCCTTTAAGCAAATGTGACGAAAAAATTGTTGCATTTGCACATTTTGTCATTGAGCTATGCTAATTTGAACATTTCATGTGCAAAACATGTTTGTCCATGGAGGTATACGTTCCCTTCGCTTGACTGAGCTCAGCTATTGATGCTTTACTTGCAATGGCATAACATTTGATTGTTATGTTATGTAATGTTATGCAACAACGAAATTATGCGGACAGCTCATTGAGTAGATGATCTTAACACTGACATGAATAATTGGACAGCTTCAATAAAAGTTACCAGGGCAAAATATATTTTGGTGGGAATTTTTTTAAATTTTTGTGAACTACGAAAATGTCCAATTTACATTTACCTGTGGACAAGACTGATATTGGTGACTTGTATTCAAATTAGCATAATATCACCATTTTTGCGACTTTTACTAAGCTTTTTTCACCATGCATGGTTAAAGGCCTATACTTTACTACTATGTGAAAAAAAATATTTAAAATCAGTCCATTATTAAATTGCTGTCGAAAGTGTGTCCTTTTTTTTAACCACCCTGTACATACATTACATGTGTCGCCATTAGTTCACTGCACTTTTTTATTCATTGGCCGTTCCAGGTGCCTTTTTTTAATGCCGCGCATTAAAAGCACCATATATTGTGCATAACCGTCGGGTTTTGAACAGGGCCCCCATCGACAGGGTACCAGGGTCCCCCCCCCCACTATTTAATTTTTCACGCTTCTTCGCTACGCTCATCCGCGTGAAAAGTAGTTTGGCTATAATGCCCAACATCTGAGAAATAATTACAACAAGGGACAAAGGAATTTCTGATATGATATTTATTGAAAGCATGGGAAGAGCCAGTGTGACATTGAACTGAATCCTGTGCATCGTAGCATTGTTACATTTGGGAAATTGCTAACAAGATAAGAATGTGAGAGGCTGTACTGAGTATGCGATTTGTCTGTGGTACTTAATTAAACATGAACATTGAAATTAATTTTCGTTTTCTAAATGCACATTGTAAGCTTTTGTAGTTAATTATTGAATGGAAATTTATTAATAAATAATATTAAATTATTACGCCTGTGTTTAAATTTACACACATTAAATTCTTATACTTCTCACATTTATAAGTGAATTCTTATTTCTCATAACGAATTCTTCTAATGAGAAAATAAATGTTATTTAAAGAAAAAACATTACACACATCCTGAATTGGCATTAGTTATTTATTTTGTCTTTCGTTCTGTAATGGTCCTTCAGACCCTTCAGGCTTCGCCCGGTATTTTCTTCTTCTTTGTTTTTTTTTTTTTTACTTTACTTGCTGGCAAGTATTTTTCCAACACTCAATCTCTGATTTACACTATATTTTACATATCTATTCTTAGACACAGTTGTCTTCCACCTGCCATGGTTCATGATAACTTCTTCAGATATACCTCTTTGTGTAAGGTGTGTGGCTCCACCTGATCTTAAACTATGGAGACCGTAAGAACTGGGATTAGTTACGCCTATCTCTTTTAGAGCACTGAAAAAGATTTCTCTGCAACGAGAGTAACTGAGTGGTTTGTTCACAAGACACTTATACGATTTAGTACTTGAGTGGAAAGTCACGGGAGTGAATATAAATTTATCTTGGCCTATGTAAATATTACAACCTGATAAGTATCGTAGTAAAATGTTAAATGCAGAGAAAGGGTCTTCTACATAGGGGAGATATGTTGAGGTGCCGTCTCTGAAGATATCAGTCTTCGATCGAGGAATGACAATTTTGATGCCTTTGTTCTCTGGAAGTAAACTAATATGGCTAGCTTTGATTTGGGCCATTTCATCATATCTGAACATTATACAAATGATAAGGATACAAAACAAGCTGTTCTAATTTTTATCAAGTTGCTTCCTGGTTGGGAAAACTTTGCGGCAATTTCTTGAACCTGACTGTGTGTTATTGGATCTTTCTGGTTTGGTGGTTTGTGAAGCTGACGCCTTCCACCCAAGATAACATTCTGAACTATTGGGGAATCTACTGGGTTGGGAGATGCATTAACCATGGAGTGTACCCATTTAATTGCAGCTGCAGTGGTGATTATGGTACTGTCGGTGTTTAATCTTGTTAATACATGTGAAAGAAACCTAGTAATAATTTTGTCGTTTATAGGTAAGCTATCATTGCATTTGTTTTCTTGAAGCCATTTGAAGAACTCCCTGCATTTGTACAAATAACTGATAATTGTTCCTTCCGCTTTAGATGACATTGCCTCGTAGAAAACCTTCTCTTTGGAAACAATGTTCGGGAATTCTGTTCAAAAACTGTTCCTGAGAATGTTCTTTATCACATTTGGAAATTTTAGTTGCAGTGTCCTCAGATTTAAGTGTGGTTTCTCAGCCTTGACTTTGTTTTGTGTCGGTGTCGACGGGTCTGGGAGCAGTTGAGGCGGGTATGCTTGGGTTGGCGGTGGAATGCCAGCTTGTGCTGCCGTAACTGGGGAACGGAAGCTGCCACATCGGCCGGTTTCTGGAGTGGGGATCTGTGTACCCGATGGCCGGATTGGTTCTGGCTCATTTTGCTTTGAATCTAGATGACATGATGTTGGACCATTCGCACTGTCTGGACCAGTGTCCTGGTTTCCCGCAAGTGAAGCAGATGTCAGAATTTGACATGCCTGAAAAGAAATAATGATTGAGAAAAGAGACAGCCATGTTCCCTCATATTTTGTCGAGGGGGTGTAAGCTTATCTATCATTATACTGGAGGGTAGGGTGGGCGGGATGTGCAAGACGAGCAGAATCTGTGTAGGATTCAGTCGTGCACACTTGGCTTGAAAGGTGATGATGGAGGAAGGTGCGGTTTATATACCCAGTTAATGCAATCTAATTGCATGAAAAGGACAGGTACAATTGAAGTTATGTGAAGAAATCTGAGCACGAGGGTTTGCCTTCTGTTGTTCAAACTATTCAAACTCTATTTATAGAGGCCAAGTGTCTGGAGAAACAAATGTGTCTACATATCAGAACAGATGTGCAAGTGCCCATTTAAAGAAATTGTAACCCCCCCCCCCCAATAAAAGTGACCGTGCTACGCCACTGACCCTATAGAGTACTGAAGTGAATACATCA